GCTGTTCTTCATCTCAAAGTCACAGTGAGACCTCAAGTCGGAGCAAAAAAACTCTCACTTTACTGCAAGTTGAAGACAGCCCCTAGCACCGGCTTTAGCAGAATTCTTTGCAAAAATAATTTGGATAGACTTTGTAAGATGTAACACCACTCAATCGGGTAAAGTCGAAAAAGAACATACTGGAAAGTAGTACATATTTAAAACAAAAAAAATTTACTGCTTAAGCTAGTTTGATAGGATCTAATTCTGACACATACATTACAATATATCCAAAAATAAAGTAATTGTCTGATACAGAAGTTTTATATGTTTTAAATAATAATGCTGTTTTTGCCTTCTTTGTTTTTATTCCCTTTGAAAATATATCATTTTGTCCAACAAATTAAAAAAAAATCTGCATTAAGGCTTTGTAATATTGCAAATATTTGACCTGATAACAATTTAGACTGTTGGAATCATCATTGGCATCATAATGATATCAAGTTTGACCTGACATGAGGAAGGCAAGTGTCATAAACTTATGAAACAATAAAATTGAGAATGGAAATGGGGAATATGTCAAAGAGACAACAACCCGACCAAAGAGCAGACAACAACCGAAAGCCACCTATGAAACAAGTTTGTTTTGGATCAAGAAAATACTCAAATTAATACAATAAACAATGTATACATTGACATATACACACATTAAAAATAGATGAGTTGTGAGAGAATCCTTTTTTTTTTAAGCTAATCTGGTAAAAGTGACTAATTGTGTCTTCATACTCAGTTCATTGTTTGTCATCTGTAAACCTTTTAGCTCACATCCCCATAAAGCCACTGAACTACTGTATAAACTTACTTGTTGTCCATTGTAAACTTTTTACCAAACTTGAGGTGAATGGTTCTTATGGTGCCTAGTATAAACATTGTTGATTTTTTATTCTGGTCAGTCTGTACGTACACAGCAAACACTTTTGGATGAGTCTTTAAGGAATTATTACCCTTTAATAGTGATTTAATCAATTTTTGCATTTTGGGCAAATTCAATAGTAGTTTAAAAGAGAAACTGTAACCAGCCAAAATGATCAGCAATATGCATTGATTTACAAATAAGATATGAGTGCTGAATTAGAATGGGGTCTATAATGTAAGAGAGTGGTCATTTTTGAAGATGCAAATACATTTTTGTTTCGCCTTGACGGAGTCAAAAAGCGAGACATAGGTATGCTGTTTCCGGCGTCAACGGCGGCGGCGTCAACAATGTATTAGTTTGTGATTAGGTCTAGTTCATGGTGAACCACTAGTGGTAGGTCAATGATATTTGGTATGCAGTTGTATTAGCATTGGCACATCTCATTACCATGGAGATTATTTGGCCCCGCCCCCTCAGTCAAGGTCTATTGACTTTGAAACTTTTCATAGTTTACATGTATTAGTTTGTGATTAGGTCAATTTATGGGGAACCACTAGTGGTAGGTCAACGATATTTGGTATGCAGTTGTATAAGCATTGGCATATCTCATTTCCATGGAGATTATTTGGCTCCGCCCCCTTAGTCATGGTCTATAGACTTTGAAACTTTTGCTAAGTTAACATGTATTAGTTTGTGATTAGGTCAGTTCAAGGGGAACCACAGGTGGTAGGTCAATGATATTTGGTATGCAGTTGTATTAGCATTGGCACATCTCATTACCATGGAGATTATTTGGCCCCACCCCCTCAGTCAAGGTCTATTGAGTTTGAAACTTTTGCTTAGTTTACATGTTTTAGTTTGTGATTAGGTCAATTTATGGGGAACCACTAGTGGTAGGTCAATGATATTTGGTATGCAGTTGTATAAGCATTGGCATATCTCATTTCCATGGAGATTATTTGGCTCCGCCCCCTTAGTCATGGTCTATAGACTTTGAAAATTTTGCTAAGTTAACATGTATCAGTTTGTGATTAGGTCAGTTCAAGGGGAACCATGAGTGGTAGGCCAATGTTAATTGGTGTTCAGTTGTATAAGCATTAACACATCTCATTTCCATGGAGAATATTTGGCCCCGCCCCCTCAGACATGGTCTATTGACTTTGAAACTTTTGCTTAGTTTACATGTATTAGTTTGTGATTAGATCAGTTTAAGATGAACTGCTAATGTTAAGTCAATGATATTTGGTATGCAAATGTATTGGTATTTGTAAGTATCGTTTCCATGGAGATTATATAGCCCCACCCCTGATCATGGTTCATTGACTTTGAAACTTTTACATAGTTTACAAGTTAATGTTTGTGTTTAGGTTTGTTTAAAGGGAACGACTTTTAATAAGTCAATGGTATTTGGTATGCAGTTGTATTAGCATTGGCACATCTCATTCCATGGAGATTGTTTAGCCATGTACCTTCAGTCATGGTTCATCGACTTTGAATATTTGCATAACTTACCTGTGAAAGTATTGCTATTTGAATTTCAACATTTGCATTATCAAAATTACAAAAAGGCGAGACATATCTCTGTGATAACAGTTTATGTAGATCCAAGTGAGTGACAGAGACTATTGTCTAGTTAAAAAAGCTTCCCTGAAACTACTGAACCAATTCAAACCAAAGTGACATGATCGATGGTGCTTAGTGGTGTGTAAAATATTGCTTAAATATTGTATGTCAATAAAAGACGAGTTGAAACAAAAAAAGATCAGCAATTTAGGCGCATTGAGCCTGTAGTTTACCGTTTTGCTGTGACTGATAACAGCTTCATATCAGGATCAGTGCTGAACTTATATACTTTGTTGTGTCTTTCTGACGAAGTTTTGTTTATCTTTAAAATGTCACAAAGAGTGGGTCATGGATTAAATTGACCACTGTCTCGAGTCACAGGGAGGACTGGGCACTAACAAACATTATTAACCCTGCCAGGTTCTGTATGCGTTTGTCCCATGTCATGGGGGATCAAATTGAGAATGGAAGCGGGGAATGTGTTAAAAGAGACAACAACCCGACCAAAGTGTAGAAATCAGCCCATAGCCACCAATGGGGGTCTCATTGGGTGGTTCTGATCCCGGATCCCGCTTACTGTTTTGACATATTCCCGTATCCCGCCTACACTATGTACGTAAGCAATTCTCATTTCCCGTATCCCGCTAGACTTCATTTCCCGTTATTATTTCAATAATTTGACTTTCACGTGTCACGCTTATAAAAAATCGGCAATCCCGCGTCACGCTTAGACCCCAATGAGACCCACACCAATGGGTCTCAAAGGCGGATCCAGGCCCCCCCTTTCGTGGGAAAAATTTGGTTGATTATTTGGGAATCACTGAAGCATGACTGGAGCGGGGCCCCCCCTTAGGTCAGTCAGCGGGCCCCCCTTATGAAAAGTTCTGGATCCGCCACTGGGTCTTCAACACATGTGCTGCTGTATTTCGGTGATTGTCGTTGGTTGCTGGCTTTCATATTTTATTTTCTTTTCCGATTCTGATAGTGTGTTTTCAAAACAAGAATCAAAAGAATTTGTAAAGATTTGGGGCGGTCCAGAATTGCTTGTACGATTTAATGCTAAACAATGATATATTATCCAATTAAAGGGGGCGTACGCATTCTACGCCCTCTCCCTTAATCCATACATAATTGGATTGAGGTGAGGGGATGGGTAGACAAGTGGACCCGCCCACCCTTATGGGACTACATGTCTATTGCATATAGACTGTAGACCCCACTCCTGATGTTTTTTAGTGGTTCCCCCTTTTTTTTTTAAATCCTGGATCAGCAACGGAAATGGTATATGAAACATTTTGAAGATGAAAAAAGGGTAAAATATGATGTAAAGCAATGCATATATATTACTCTTCAAGAGTATTTTGAAAACACACATTGGAACTGGAGCAAATGCATGTAGGGCTGGCCTACATCTGTGGTAACATCCCTTTTCGTCATCAATACAAATAAGTAGGATTATTTATCCAATGAAAGAAAAATAAATACCTATCGGATCGCTTGCCAACCCGTGTATTAAAAAAGTAAGATATGATCATGAAATAACGTATTAAGGGAAATCATGAATTTATACAAAATATATTCATTCGTATATCTGCATATCCTACCGAGAATTCAAATTTTTAAATTCATAATGAGAAAAAATACAATCAGTTAAACTGACAAATTCTTTGAATAGAAATAAACCATAAAGGTAATGAAAACCGTGTGTTAAACTTCAAACACAATACCAATATCAAAGGTTACGGCTACAGCGATTATTAAAAAGAAATAGAAAGGGAGTCATAAAATTTAAATTGCATGAATTATAATATAATAGCCCAATCATTTTATGACCTCGGAGTCAATACTTTCTATTTCTGTTTTCTGATATCTTCATTGCTTATTTTACTATTTCTTATATTTTATTTTCTATATACCGTTTTTACTATCAAATGCACCCCCCCCCAAAAAAAAATAAAGAAAGAAAAATGAAAATATCACCAAAAACCTTTGAAAAAAAAGGATAATGCGCACGTTTCCGGACTAGTGTAACAAGAGAGAAAAAAAACAACCGTACGTAAAATCATAGCTGTATAAAAAACACACACATCTATGGTAAAATCCAGGATTTGTATAGTGAAATCAAATCCTTGGTAAAATGAAACAGTCAGTCGAATACACCGCGGACCAAGTATAAGGTGTACATGAAGTATTGCAGATTAACGACAAACTATCTTCTATTAATTCGATCACACAAAAAAAAAATAAGAAGCAAAAAGCAGAAAAAACAAATTAATTAATAAAAAAAAACACTGTCGATAATGGTTATACTATCTACAACAGTATAATGGAGGAACGACGGTGGCGCGTGGTTGTGATTAATACGCCGCCTAGATAAACAAAACTGTGTATTGACCTTTTAGTGATAGAAAAACAGAGTTCAAATATATAAATATTCATGTTATACCTTATTGTCATACTTCCGTCAAAACTTTTAAACCAATAGCATGACACAAATTATTTTTCGAACAGCTCTGATATTTTCTCATAAACTATAGTCAAACCCAGAGAGGTTCGAACGAAATCTTCCAAGCATAGTATCATTGGTTTCCTTCCCCCTTACTTATATTCCCCTGATTGGTCTCAAGACATTGGTACACTATACGTTACAACACTTGCCGTCAGTACTCAAAATTGGAAAAATATTAAATAAGAAGGTATAGAAAATTAATGCACACACACTACTATCAACCACAGACATGATGTTTTTCTCAATTTGCCTAAATCGTTATTCCGCAATACAACGAGGGTGATGAAAACACGGGCACCGGCATGCTGTGAATTTGAAAGTTTCCCAAATGAGTAACTATCCCTTACTTTTCTAGTGTAAAGTTTTATTAATACACATTTGATTTGAAATGGGATATCAGAGAGATATATAAACACATATATCATAGGCTGATCCAGGGGGGGGAGGGGGGGGGGGGGGGGGGGGGGGGGGGGGGGGGGGGGGGGAGGTTGGGGGCCCGGGCCCCCTTTCTTTGGAAAAATTTGGTTGAATATTTAGGGAATCACTAAAGCATGACTGGAGCCGGCCCTCCCTTATGAAAAGTTCTGGATCCGCTAAATGAGAAACTCAAGAAATTGTTTTCAATTAAGATAAATACATGCAGTTTATAATGGTTTATAGTTGTTTTTTAAAGGAGAGGCGGATTTAGTGGGCGGGGGGGACAGGAGTTCGGGGCTCCCTTTTCTTGAAAAAATTTGGTTGATTATATAGGGAATCACTGAAGCATGACAGGAGCCGGCCCCCTCTTAGGCAATCACTTATGAAAATTTCTGGATCCGCCACTGTAAAATCGTCTTCAGTTGTATTATATTAAAAATTTTATACCTGTATTCTATAGTACAAATCAAAGGAAAATAATGTAAATTATCTGGTAGTAGCAATACAATATAAATATTGAGCAAAATTTCTACAAACTTTACTATACTCCACTCAAAAATAAACATTATACATCAAGATAACAAAATAAAATTTAAAATCAGGGCAAACAGACATTAACTTATTCAGGCTAACAAGTAATTAAGGTTGAATGTGAATCAGGGCGAATGGACCTAGATCCAAACTCCAGTAGGGTAACTCCTATAGTTCAAAAATTCATGTTTATAAATGCTAATTAAACATGTTAAAGATTGGCATACAACTTGGAGTAGCCTTATGGCATTGTATAGTGTAATGAATTCAGGGGATAATGGCACTACGCCTTTGATTTTAAAGTCCTCAGAATCAATCTTTAATATTAATATGCATACTCTTGTACAAAGGAATATAAGTATGCAATAGACATATGTTCTTCAAAAATAAGAGGTATCCATGCTATACATTTATGACAAGATCTTAATCAAGTATTAATTTTGGTTTGTTTAAATATTTCGGAGGTTAGTATGACGTCCTTTCTAATGATGATGTTTTCGTTTAAAGTTGGAAAAAATTGTTTGTACCAACAAAAATAAATACACGAAGTTTATCCAGAATTATGTGTTTATCATTTTTTTCATGTTTAGGTTGCCAGCAAGATGAAAAGAACAATGCAGTTCAAAAGTCAAAATGTGGATAAGCTGAGATACAAGGTCCTACTTTTGCAGATTTTCATATTTTGCATGAATGAATTTGAAGTTTATATCATGGAGGGCAGAGAAAGAAAAGAAACACTTCAATTTTCCTGCTTCTGAAGAATAAATGTAAAACATCTTGTTCGGTAAGTTTTATCATGTTTATGCTCTGTTTTGATAGTGTTTGTGCATTCATCTGTCTTTCTCTAAATTGTATTCACTTAAAGTTTTTGGTTACAGTTCACCATGAACTTCAGTTAGTAACTTGTGGTTTACATGTATATACTCAAAATTTAGTACTTTAAAATGATCATGTATTTTTGTCGAGCCTGCGACTTTTGTCGCAGAAAGCTCGACATAGGGATAGTGATCCGGCGGTGGCATTAGCTAACTTCCTAAAAGCTTTACATTTTAGAAGGTGGAAGACCTGGATGCTTCATACTTTGTATATAGATGCCTCATGATACGAATTCTGTCTGTCACATGTCCATTGTCCTTGACCTCATTTTCATGGTTCAGTGACTACTTGAAAAAAAAGTTCAGATTTTTTGTAATGTTAATTTCTCTCTTATTATGAGTAATAGGATAACTATATTTGGTATGTGCGTACCTTGCAAGGTCCTCATGCTCGTCAGAGAGTTTTCACTTGACCTAGACCTCATTTCATGGATCAGTAAACAAGAACAGTCATAGATGCATGATTTTTTTTATTATTTGTTAGTGGTTTTGAACTAGCTGTCAGTAACTGCGAGTACTCTCAGATCTGTACTTAGTGTCTTTTTGTTGTTTGGATGTACAAGTACCCGGCCACGTCCACTTGTATTTGTAGTATTTTTATCTATCTGATGAGTTAAGCCTCTTTCAACTGATTTTTATACGACTGCAAAAATTTTTTTTGGGTTCGTATAATGCTATGATGTTGTCGTCGTCTGCGTTGTCGTCGTCCAAAGACACATTTGGTTTCCGGACAATAACTTTAGTTTAAGTGAATGGATCTCTATGAAATTTTACAAGAAGATTCAATACCACAAAAGGAAAGTTGTGATTAGTTTTGGTGGTTATGGTACCAACAGTTTAGGAATAAGGGGCCAAAAAGAAGCATTTTTGTAGTTTCCGGACAATAACTTGTGTGTAAGTGTATGGATCTCACTGAAATTGTACCATAAGGTTCCATATCACAAAGGGAAGGCTGGGATTGAGTTTGGGGGTAATTGCCCCAAACATGCAGGAATTAGGGCCAAAAAGGGGCCAAAAACAAGCATTTTTCTAGTTTCTAGACAATAACTTGTGTTTAAGTGTATGGATCTCTCTAAAATTGTACTACAAGGTTCCATACCTCAAAGGAAAGGCTTGGATTGAGTTTGAGGGTAATTACTCCAAGGGGGGGGGGGGGGGATTTTTATCCCAATTTTTTTTTCTTCAATATTTTTGAAATTTCAAATTTTTTGAAAAGTTTCAAGAAGAAATCTTCAATTGAAAGTATTGCGCAATAGATTTTTAAGATCTTTGACCACATTCATTTTGTATCAGAAACCTATATTATGTCAAAAATTTGATCACAATCCAAATTCAGACAGTATCAAGCTTGAATATTGTGTCCAAATTGCCCCAACTGTTCAGGGATCGACCTCTGTGGTCGTATCAGGCTGCGCTCAGCAAAACATTTTATAGTTCGTTCTTATGTTGTACTGTTACACCACTGTCCCAGGTTAGGAGGAGGGTTGGGATCCCTCTAACATGTTTAACCCCGCCACATTCTGTATGTATGTGCCTGTCCCAAGTCAGGAGCCTGTAATTCAGTGGTTGTCGTTTGTTTATGTGTTACATATTTGTTTTTCGTTCATTTTTTGTACATAAATAAGGCTGTTAGTTTTCTCGTTTGAATTGTTTTACATTGTCATTTCTGGGCCTTTTATAGCTGACTGTGCGGTATGGGCTTTGCTCATTGTTGAAGGCCGTACAGTCATTTCTGGGCCTTTTATAGCTGACTGTGCGGTATGGGCTTTGCTCATTGTTGAAGGCCGTACAGTGACCTATAGTTGTTAATTTCTGTGTCATTTGGTCTCTTGTGGAGAGTTGTCTCATTGGCAATCATACCACATCTTCTTTTTTATATTTAAGGTTAAGTTTTGGTGGTCAAGTCCATATCTCAGATACTATAAGCAATAGGTCTAGTATATTCGGTGTATGGAAGGACTGTAAGATGTACATGACCAACTGGCAGGTGTCATCTGACCTTGACCTCATTTTAATGGTTCAGTGGTTATAGTTAAGTTTTTGTGTTTTGGTCTGTTTTTCTTATACTGTATGCAATAGGTCTACTATATTTGGTGTATGGAATGATTGTAAGGTGTACATGTCTAGCTGGCAGGTGTCATCTGACCTTGACCTCATTTTAATGGTTCAGTAGTCAAAGTTAATTTTTTGAGTTTTGGTCTTTTTTTCTATTACTAAATGCAATAGGTCAACTATATTTGGTGTATGGAAACATTTTATGATGTACATGTCAGTCTCGCAGGTTTTATTTGACATTTTCACGGTTCATTGCTCAGTGTTAAGGTTTTGTGTTTTGGTCTGTTTTTCTTAATCTATAAGCAATAGGTCAACTATATGTGTTGTATGGAAGGATTGTAAGCTGTACATGTCTGCCTGGCATGGTTCATCAGATTTTCACCTCATTTCCATGGTCAATGTTCAGTTTTCTTGTTTAAGTCTGCTTCTTAGAAACTATAAGCAATAGGTCAACTGTATTTAGTATATTGAATGATTGTAAGGTGTACATGTATTTCTTGTCGGGTTTATATGACCTTGAATTCATTTTCTTGGATCATGTTGAGTTTATGTGATAGTTGTAGTAAAGCTTTATATTTAGGACTATCAACATGATATCAATGATTAGTAAAGAAGGCGCAACATTTCAGCGTGTGCACTCTTGTTTATACATTATACACCACATTTACTGTTTTTACCCTGATTTTATGGATCACTGAACATAGAAATGTCATAATGTGAAATTATAATACATTCTTAGGTTAAAGTTTTAGGTTAAGGTACATAGCTTACCATGAAGTTGAATTTCATACACATGTTCATTATGTGGTGAACTTTTAAATTCAGTGCCAAACTAAGATTTTGAGCCTGATTACATGATTGACTAGACATTGACACATGCTAGTGTTTGCCAGGCATGGTGTCCTGTACTAGGAATTTGTCCTGTACTAAGAACTTTAATAGTACTCGCTGAGTATGGAGTTTTTGTGAAAGTTTAATATTAGTGAGATTTTTGCATGACATCCTATCAACTGCTTGTTGATCATGTTTATACACGTCTTAAAATTAATATCTGACACATTGGTGTTTTGTGAACTTGGAAATAAGTTATTTGATAGAAAAATAATGTTTTGAGATTATCAAAATAAAAAATATCCCATTTTTACTATTAATAATTAAGTGTTAACAAAAAGAAGATTTAGGATATATGTATAACCATATATAAAAATGAGACAGCAACCGAACAACACAAAAATAAGAAAAAAAAACAATATAATTTTTTGTATCAATGTTATAATTTCCAACATGTCAAAAGAGTTCAAGGTATTTTCTCATTGAAATAAAACACAAGTGGAACTCTTTCAGAACTTCAGAAGCTTAAAGAAGTGCTGTTTCTATTGTTGGCGTTTTGTATAATATATTGCAAATTCTTGTGAAAAATGGAATGTTACTGTAATTGCCTAAAGTTTTAACATTGATCTATATATATATATATATATATATAACTGGGGAAAATACCCAAATGTTATAAAGAAGAATACATAAATTGATTGTTATATAATATTAGAATAGGAAGATGTGGTATATTGCTAATCTGACAACTCTCCATCAGAGACCAAAGGATGTAGGAGGTTAGCAACTGATGACACTGGACAACCTTCAACAATCAGTAAAATCCATACCGCATAGCTATTTTTATTGAAAATCATATGTTATTGCTACATGTATGCAAACAATTTTTTATAATGCATAACTTCGGATTTTATTGGTTCTTTTTCAGAAGGATTGAAATTCATCACTTAGAATAAAAGGAGAAAACACAGAAACAAGACCAGAATAAATTCAAAGACAAATGTCAGATCAGTTATTATTTTCATCACTCAGACAATGCATCGAAGTTCTATTAAATATCTAAAGATATTAAACCACAATAATGACAATGTTCTGTGCTGAATGGCCAAAAAGTGGACTATACATTAAGATCACACAATGCTGGATGATAAGAAACTATTAATTTTTTGGATGGAGGGATATCCTGAAACAAAATTAGATTTATGTAAAAAGCTACTAGTATGTTAAGCGTAATAATAGAGTTTTCATTGATTCCAAATGGGAAAAAATTGTGTTTCAAAAAAGTATTCTAGAATTCTTAAATAAACATATATTGATACTTACATTATCTGCTTTGTTGATTAAAAGTTTAGTTTTGAACAATTATAGAACAATATGATTGCATTAACATTTCCAAGGAAAAAAAGATATTCAACTAAAAAGATTCATCTTAAAACAATTTACTACCAAACAGAATTCATTGTAACATACACATTACTGTATATTTATAATTTGAATCCCATAGGATTAATTGGATTTTTTTTTGTCCCATGGGACAACAAATATCCCATGGGACTACAATTATCCCATGGGACCCAAAAAAATCCTATGGGATTTAACCAAAATCCCATGGGATAATGGTCAATCCCATGGGATTTGCCTTATCCCATGGGATATTGAAAATCCCATGTTTTTCTAAATCAAATAAAAAAATATATATAATAATGACAGCAGAAAAGCAATGAATTTATTGAATCCCATGTAATTCCGCACATTTTGGTTATATACACGACACTGTAGCTCTAAGGAGAGGCGGCGGCGGATTTGCAAATGAGTGTTTTGCAAATTAAAAGTGTCCAGTGTTCATAACTGAAATCGATGAAGTATAAAATGTAGAGCATGGTGACTTAAGAAGAAAATGGTAAATCAATCTGTTAAGAATATTCAAAGACGTCTTGAAAAAATATATGCTGATGATGAACTTTGTTTTGAAACATGTTTTTATGCCCCCGCCGTAGCGGAGAGGGCATTAAGTTTTACCCTTGTCCGTCTGTACGTACGTACGTCCGTCCGTACGTCCCGAAATTGGTTTATGTTCTCTAACTTCAGTTTGCCTCAACCAAATGTTATGAAACTTATACACAATGCTTATTACCACAAAACTCAGATCAAGTTTGAATTTTAATGGTGTCACTTTAACCGATCTAGAGTTATGCCCCTTTATAAAAGGAAATATTGCAAAATTTTTAGTTTCCGTTCTCTAACTTAAGTTTGCCTCAACCAAATGTTATGAAACTTATACACAATGCTTATTACCACAAAACACAGATCAAGTTTGAATTTTGGTGGTGTCACTTTAACCGATCTAGAGTTATGCCCCTTTATAAAAGGAAAAATTGCAAAATTTTTATTTTCTTCTAAATATCAAGTTTATATAATATATTTTTAAAATTGGAGTTATCTTCCTTTGACCATGATTATAGTTGAATCAACTACAATCATTGCTTTATACAATGCAATGGTTAATTTTGACTTCCACTGATAAAACACAGATCAAGTTGAATTTGGGTAGTGTCACTTTAACCATTATTGAGTTATGCCCCTTTATAAATAGAAAGATTGCAAAATTTTTTAGTTTCCATTCTGTAACTGAAGTTTTCCCCAGCCAAACATTATGAAACCTATACACAATATTCATTACCACAAAACTCAGTAAGGATCAAGTACAATTTTTTTGTTTCAGTTCTCTAACTTGAGTTTGCCTCAACCAAATGTTATGAAACTTATACACAATGCTCATTACTACATAATACAGATTAAGTACGAAATTAGGTGGCAACACTTTTACCATTCTAGAGTTATGTCCCTTTATAAACATAAAAATTGCTGAATTTTTTAGTTTGTCTCAACCAAATGTTGTAAAACTTATACACAACCGTTCTAGAGTTATGAGTGTTTACAAATAGAAAAATTGCTGAATTTTTAGTTTCTGTTCTCTACTTAAGTTAGCCTCAACCAAATATTATGAGACTTACACACAATGCTTATTACCACAAAACTCAGATCAAGTTCAAATTTGGGTAGCGTCACTTTTACCGTTCTTCAGTTATGTCCCTTTATAACTATATGATATGCAAGCGGGGGCATCATCTGTGTCCACATGTGGACACTATCCACATTTATTTTTTTTCTGTTTTGCAAGATTCGGTATTTTGATATAAAATTAATATAGGCATTAATAGATATATTACAAAACATTTACCTCTGTTTTAGCATTATCAAGCATGATCATTTGTAAAGACATGTCAGCAACGATAAGATGCACCTCCCCGTCAACTTTAATCATATCCGAAGGATTTTACGGAATAAGAGAGGATAACCTATGTGTGGTGAGCCCTGCCACCAATTTGGTACAAACATGTTCATCAAGCACGGCAAATACCCAAGTGAAAACATTATGCAATGGAAACTCACAGTGCACACTGAGTGCAACAGATGCCACTTTTGCGAATAGTTGTTCAGGCGTGAAATACCTGGAAGTGAAGTACAGATGTTCTTGAAATATTATTACTAGGAACAGTAAAATAAAATTAGGCGATTTGTGTTTTATGCTGCTAACGTACATCAGTTTTCCGAAATAAGTCATTCTATGTAGTACCTGTAAGTGAAAATTATTATATATATATCCGGACCATATGAGTATTGTCATGACCGTATGCGTATATCTGTATGGTCCGACCATACATGTATGGTATGGTCGGACCATATGGGTATTATACTCGTTTGGTTATGAAGGGGCCGGACCATATCAGTATTTAGACAATATAGGTATTTTTTAAAATAAATTATAACTTACTCCGCAGGAGCACACAGCTCATTCTCCGAACCCAAAACGACACAAGTTACTAACTGAATTCCTTTGTCTTTTAAATTACATACTGTCAGAATCTTGGTGTATCAGTTATTTTGCCTTCGCTAGAATCAATTTAGAGCGTTCGGGCATGGACCTTTTTTTCTTTTTGTTTTGTGCTTGAATTATTATTTGAGAAACAAAATTTCTTCTAATCTCAACTTATTTCATTTATTTATTGTGTTCTTTCTTCTATTAATACGATTTTTCTTTTATGATAAGATCGTACAAATAGGAGCAAGAACACATTAAATAACTAAAAACAATTTGATATATTTAAGAAATTTTTCATAAGTCGACATATTGCGTTTCGTACAAAGGTAAGGACAAATCAATAATGACCATGTAAAACTGATTTTACTATACTTCTTACTTGTAAGTAAAATTCACTTTATTTCATTAATCATGTAACAATGATTTTTACAATATGATTGAATAAGTAAAAATTTCATTTTTAGGAACTCTAAATTTATGGGACACCTTATGAACGTTCCTCGTGTTTATTAAGCAGACCATACGCGTATGGTCGGACCATATGAGTATATACGCATATGGTCTTGACCATACGCGTATGGTCCAAATACTCATATTGCCCGGAACATGTATATGTACAATAACTATCTTGCTTTATTTTGGCGACAATAATATATTAAGACCCAAAAGGTCTATAGAACTGATTCTGTTGTTCATATAAAAAGTAATGCCTATAGACCAATTTAAAATTCTTTTTAATGAGTGAATTACGCCGGTTGACCCCAGTTAATCAGCGTAAACGGCGTCATTAAACAATCAACTCTTACTGTGACCTTATAACATTAGCATTGTGACATCGGTGCGGGAAAATGAACGAATTTGAAAGTCGTCGATGCTGTTGGCCATGCAAGTCCTGATACACCAAATCATCCACTACACCTTTTTTACAATTACTTAAAGAAATAATATTAGTAGTCTAATGTATATATCTAGGCCGCCCTATATAATATATCTTTATTTTTTTAACATTAACAAGTGTAGACACAGATCAGTGTGGATAGTAATTGTTCGATTAGTTTTAGTATTGATTGACAGTCCTCAGAGAGTTAATGTATGGTGGTGCCCTACACAATGGTTTCTGAGCTTTTTCTATGTATTTTTTGTTAAGTTCTATGCTGTACTATTTTCCACAGTGAAGCCATCTTGGTTTAAGATTAGTAGCAAAAAACTCAAAATTGTCAGAGTGTCATTTGTAATTCAATATTTGTTTAAAATGTGCATCTATTTTTGGTGAAGAAGCTATTTGTATGGATTTCCAACACGAATCTATGACGGGACCGAAATCAAATATCATATTGTAATACAATTGTATGATAAGTGAATTTCATTCTCTGGCTTTTGATAGTACAAAGCAGCTGTTTCTAAATGCTATCGATATAAAGAACCATAACCCAATCGACTTATACAATTAATGGTTGATTTAAGCTGGGAACAGTCTATCTAACGTCAATATATATGTTCCTGATTTAAGCACACAGAACGAAAACAACAAATAACAAAAGAAGACAAATATACGGACTAATTAACACGGAGACAAGGTTTTGGACGGGGCAAAATAATATGTCTAAAGTGCTCACTCATGCCCCGGCTTTACGAAAGTAATACAATCACATGAATAACTGAGGCATCTTTAACAAAAAATGAACCATAAACTAAATATAAATAAATCAATAACAAAACTGACGGATATATATATAATTATATACAAGTCTAAATTGAAAACAACGTTCAAACCTATGATTGCGTTGGATAAAAACCGCAATTTTTATACGTGTGCATGCAAAACAAATTTCTTGGTAGAGGGGTCTAAATACAGCACAAACAACATTTTCCAAAAGACCAAAAAAGTTATTTCAATAACAAAACTGACGAATGCAGGAAGGTATTAATGTAATATTTCAAAATAAAATATTCTGGCAGGATTTATTATGAAAGTTGTTAAAATAAAAAATCCAGGGACATTGTCAATTGTTACTATATACAAATAAATGTATTAAACAATATAAGGTTAATGCCAGAAAAAAATAACATCATAGTTTAAGGCTTAGAACTAGAAAGGCGAGGTTTACTTTGCCTTTTAATAATTTCATACCAAAAGGTTGAT